GAACATGGGCTCTTAAAGAGGGCAGAACAGTGATAATGCAATTTCAATTCTGCTATCTTTCGCTCTTCAGGAGGAGATTCACCTGACTATGAGAGAGGTGCTTTTTTTAACATACAATAGTAGATGTAAATTTAGAACCACAGCCTCCTGTTGGAAGTTATTCTTTTAGATTTTTAACTTTATTTTAAAATATTGCAAATGTAAAGGAGGCAAAAGAGCAATCCAATAATCAATAGATTATGCTTTATGGGAATAAAATTACAGTCCTTTAAAAACAACTTTAAAAAAATTACGAACTGTGGTTTGTGTACCCCAGAAATTCCATGTGCTGACGTATTAGGATAAAGGTAGACAGACAATGTATTTTAACAGTGGAATTGCTGCTAGTGTGTATAGTCCTGGTAAGGAATATTTTTGTATGAACACCTTCATTTGCACATTTAGAACTAGTTATTTAAAGTTTTTCTGCTGATGTTTTTCTCTGCATAAAGCATAGCCACATTTGTGCGACTACCTTTTCAGTATCTAGCTTTTCATCTGATCTGCTCACAATTCAAAGGAATGGTAGCTTTCCTCTCCCACAGTCAAGATCTAATGCTGGTCAATCATATTACGGAGCTGCAAAGAGAAATTACAAATAATATAACCTCGAGAACCAGCTTTATGTTGGTGTGAACTATTTAGCATTCACAATTTGAGCGGGTAGGAATGGATAGACTTGGATTCTGCAAAGCAAAAGAAAAAAGTGCCAGAAGTCTTATGTTCTACTTAAAAAATATTACATTGAGACTACCCTCCAGCAACACACTCAAGTATCACTGGGAGCTAAATTCCTTTCTGTAGAAGATAACACGTGGTTTTTGATGGGGCTTGCCATTCACTTTGGACAGCTGCTTCTATACCATGTATATGCATGTCATGAATCTGCCACTGGAAATCTTGAGAAATTCCAGTTTCCAGTAAACATTCAATGGTTCACCACTGAATTTATCTGAATACAACAGTCTTCCCGAGTTGCTAATTTTAAGTGTCTAAACCTCGGCTTACTGTACGTACAAAAGATTTCTAAGTAGCTTTGCGGGTTGTCAAGAAGCTAAATATTTGCAGTAACTCTAGGCTGCTGAAACGCTTAGTGCTTTCTTTGGAAAGAATCAAGCTTTCAAAACATTTTGTGCCCAGCTCCATACCCAAGCGGATGATCTACAGTGTATTTTACAAACAGTATCTGTCAGATACCTCCAGAGCATCCAGCTCTTAACGGTGGCCAGCAGACTGTCTGCGAAAGCCAGATGACTGTGTGTGACTTTCCATGGTTGTTGGAAGGCAGAAAATAAGTTGAGTAGTTCCTCATCCAGCAGTCTTGTTCACGAGGAGTCCTACCAAGGCAGGCCAGGAGGGGGGCCTTGCTGGAGGCAGGACAGACCAGGGATGCACTGTAATTCTCCGTTACGCCTCCTCTGGAAGGACTAAAGTGAGTTTTGAGAAAGGCCAGGACTTGAGACATGTAAAGCAGCCCCTGTCCAGTCTCAGGGCACCCTGCGAGACGCAGGGCAGAATGGGGAATAGAGATGTGCTCTTTGTCTTCTAGGTCACTCGCCTCCATTCCGATTCATTATTCCAACACCAAAATGAGTTTGAGCAAAGAGACTCAGTGGTCTGCAACTCTTGCAAAGGTCAGAGTTTATTTTCAGTTATTTATCTGAATAAAACTTGACACTTTATAAAATGTGCAGGGAGTATCATTTTCACTTTTTGAGAGTGGTGAAAGAGTGACATGTACCGAACGAGCAATTCATTTACCATCAGGTAGATCAGTGGCAGACTCATGAAAAGAACATGTGAATCCTGGCTCGAATTATCCTCCCTCTGACTGGCAGATGACACTGCTTCTCCCACTGACACTCCTTTCACCGAAAGTGAATTTAGAGCGGTTTTCACGAACCCTCCTGAACACTCCCTAGCGTGATCTTGCATTTCTTCTTAGCCCTGCTGTTACAATGCAAATACAGCAAATCCCCGTTTCGCAGCCACTGCACATCAAGCTGAAACTGCGTCAGCTCTTTGCCAGAGGGGTGACTCCAAGGCAAGAAGCAAACCCTCACGTGCACTGCTCTTCTTTGCTCGGGGAACCATTTGATAAGAATACTTGTTACCTTTGAAAGTGCTCTAATGAGGTTCAGGAGATTAAAGCATCTTTGCTGGCAGCAGCCTGGGCAGTTTTTCACAGCATCGTAAATCATTGATGTAAAGAAACAAAACCAAAATGCATTTCCTTCCTTTACAGGAGACATGAACCTTGAAGAGTATTTTGCGAGAACTGGCTATAAAGGTTCCCTTGAAAAACAAGATTTGGAAACCTTAACAGATATATTCCAGCACCACATCCGTGCAGTTCCCTTCGAAAACCTCAGCATCCATTGCGGGGAGAAAATTACTTTGGAGTTGGAGCATGTCTATAACAAAATAGTACGGAGGAAGCGGGGTGGATGGTGCATGGAAAACAACCAGCTGTTGGGCTGGGTCCTGAAACGCCTGGGGTACGATGCCAGCTTTCTGGGAGCGTACGTGTTCAATCCGCATCAAAACGCGTACGCCAGCATCATGACCCACCTCCTTGTAAAGGTAGTTATTGATGGCAAAGCCTATATTGTTGACGGAGGCTTTGGTGTGTCCTATCAGATGTGGCAACCGATGGAGCTTGTATCGGGGAAAGACCAGGCCCAGGTTCCCGGCGTCTTTCGCTTCACGGAAAAGAATGCCATTTGGTACCTTGAGAAAATGAGACGGAAACAATATATCCCCAATCAAAATTTCTCGAATTCTGATCTTCTGGAGAAAAAAGAGTGTCGGAAAATTTATATGTTCAGCCTTGAGCCACAGACAGTGGAAGATTTCCGTTCCCCGTGCGCGTACCTTCAGACCTCTCCAGATTCCCTCTTTACAAAGAAGTCCATCTGCACCCTCCAGACCACTGATGGCTTTCGTGCGCTAATTGGGTGGACACTCACCGAGACCACATACAACTACAAGGAAAACATGGATCTGGTGGAATTCATAACTCTTGAAGATGAAGAGGTGGAAAAAACCCTTAAAGAGAAATTCAGCATAAACCTAGATAGAAAACTTGTCCCAATTAATGTCAAAGGATTTTACACAATCTAGATGACCAGGAAAACCTACAAAAATGCTACGTATGTACAGTACCTTCCACTGTCTGTGCAATCACTACTGCAACACTATGGGATTCTTTTGCAGGCGATTGCAGGAAAAATACATTAATATGAGATTAACGTGAATTTCACTCTGGGAAAAATCAAGAATTTAAGACTCTTCAGTTAGGTAGCTAGAATTGTGTGCTGTGAGATGGCTGCAGTTCTATTTTTGGCATAAATGTGGAATCTCATTTGAATCTGGTTATAAACTTGGGTAAGAAATATGCTGGGGAATTCTGGAGTGCCTATAGCACATAAAGAGGAGCATGGATTATTAATTGTGATATGCTGCCAACACATTTTCTATGGTTATTATAGGGAGAAAAGCAATCTGTGAGCATTTAGACAATGAAGTACACATTTAAAACTTCATTTTTCACAAGATCTAACCACTCACAGCATCTCATTTCTCTACCTTTAACGTAAGTAAAACAATGTCATCTTTTAAAGGAGCATTAGGAGGCATAATTCTTTCACCATCATCCTTAGACAAAACATAGGTACAAAATGAAAATTATCATTATGTGCATCCCTTTTGCCATTACTGCAGTAAACTGCCCAAAGTAATTTTTGGTATGTACATATTTTTCCGCTGACAAAAATTGTATATATTGCAGCATTACTGTGGCTGATGGGCTCTAAGGAGATACCTACAGGCTTTGCTTCTGATAAGTAATCATCCTATAAAGGGTGAATGGTGCTTAAATGTCACAATTGGCTTAGATTTCCTTCTGTCCCCAAAAGGGTGGAAATTTTGTATTTTTAGCATTGCAAGTTATTTGTATAACAAAGGTAGAACTAACAAAATGAAGCTAACCCCACTATACCCTTAATTCTGCCCTCTTTATGTATAGCAAATATGGGAGTCCATACGGCTATCCTGAATGAGTATTGCTTAGCACAGGAGCTTTACTGTCACAAATGAGTTCTTTCATCTGTATGAAAGTGAAAAAAATCAAGGAGCCAACCAAATCTAAAGGAACCCCTTTTCTTTAGAATTATTTCACAATTACATATCCCCATTTTTTTTAAATTGTTGTTCCCCCTACTATGCTGCTCTGCAAAAAGCCCAACCAAGAAAACCACCAAGAAAGGGGAAACATTCTCAAATGCATCAAAAAAATAGCAGAAACACTGAGAAACACTCTTTTTCCCCAATCTATGATAATCCTGAGCATTGGTCAAACGTTGCTTCATTCAGTGTATCTTTTTGCTCAAAGACATCATCTGATCATAGATCTCACAAATGCCCTAAGTGTATACCTGAAAATAAATAAAGGAAATTAAAAACGTAAAGAGTTGTTGTAAGTACAACCTCCCGCAACTGCACGACTCCTGCACACACCATTAGCTAAGTAAATGAGTTGCTGTTCAATCATGCAACCGATCTGCTGGCCAACCCTTCCCACCATGAGCTTCTGGAACCGAACAGGCCAATACTGAAGAAATTTGACAGCACTGTCAGAGATGTTAAGTTCCTACAGGTTCCTGGATTAAAGAGCTCGTAGGCTGAGGAAGAAGATGATCAGCAAAGACGAGGCCCAGTAGTCATCTCTTGTGCTGGGTGGGCTTGGCAGCCATCAGCTCTGGGCTGCTGCGGTACATGCCGGCCCTTCCCCACCCATCAGGGGGCAGATGATGGCCTGGGTGCATGCGTACTTGCACGGGGATGAGGAACAGAGGGCCAAGCAAGAGGTGATACGGGACACTAAAAGATCGCACTGGGGTGGGAACACAGTTCTTTATAAATAATGGAACTAAGGACTTTGTTCTGTAGTTTGTCTTCATATTATTCTCTCATACTAAGGTCCCATTACGGGTTTTTACACCTTTCTAAATGATTGATCAATACGAGGTGTTCCCCAAGACCCCAAGGAACATTACAAGCTTCAGAACACTCACCGCCTCCTTTCTAGCTGATGGAAATTCCCATCTGGTCAGGTCACCCAGGTCACCAAACCGTATTTCTCTATGCAATGAGCTACAGTTGTTTTCTGGTGCTGCTGCCTCTTCTCTTGAGAACAGCCATTAACAGACTGGTTATTTTGCTCCCCAGCTTCTCCAGATGTTCCTGCTGTTCTCCCAGGTAACAGTTCAGGCTGTGCTATGCAAGGGTTTCTTGGGCAGTCTATGGACTCGTATCAGCATTTCTAACTGCGCCTGCAATGATGGGACTCAACCCAGATACCCCCTTCTACCATTTGGATGTACGGGGCTGCTGCTGACTGAAGCTTCAACCCTCTCCCTGACTCCATCTGTTGATAACCACTCTCTGAGCAGGATTTTTCCTCTTCATGTAACAATTATAACCAGGTCCTCACTGTGCAACATCAAATCACACGAAGAAATGTCAACACATATAACTGAGGAACAGTTTCACGGTTTAACTAAAGCTCCCCAAAAGCTGACGAAAGCAGGTTATTGAGGTGTGAATGCCAGACCCCAAATGCCTCAAAGGTTTGAGATGAAATGGTGTAAAAACAAACAAAACCAAACCAACCCAGAGGCCTCACGCTGGGGTTGCATTAGCAAGGCATTACTGTAGAAGGCAGATGCTCTCCCAGCCTGAAATGAAAAGAAACAACCCAGTCCTTAAAGCATCAGCTCTCAGAGAAACTTGCATTCACATGCAGAAGGAAAACATAGGATGTCTGACAACCTTCACACCACTATGCTTTATTAACACTCTCCCAGAAAGGTTTAATGAGAGCCTGAGCTATTGCGCAGTTTCAGTTGTTGACTGCTGTTGAAATGAAGCAGAACAAATGCTTAGAACCCCCCACCCAGGACGTGTCCAATCCAAATACAATTTAAAAGTATGGTATTCCAATTAACAGAAAGGCGACACAATTTCTTTTTCAGTCTGAATGCTGGATTAAGTCCCAGAATCCTGGCCCAGCTGCCCATTACACACACACGCAATGCCCAGTGGCAACGACAGCCATCCGCGATTATAGAACTGATTAATGGAGTGTCTTATTTGAAAACAGGACACATAACAGAAGTAACACAGTTCAAACTCCACGGCACCACTGAACATCCTCCCCGCTTCCCAAAGAATCAAAGTTTAATGAGCTCATGCATTACTAAAGGGAGGATACAGGATGGCTCGCTTCAGTTGGACTCCGGTCCTGGACTTACTAAGATCCAATACTAAGCAGAATAAAAGCAACAAAACGAGGAACATCACCAAGAAAAACGAAGTTGTTCAATACTTCCATGTTTCCAACATCAGCTGTTATTACAGAAATAAACACTGTCAGCCTGTCAAAAGGAGGGCCAAAACTTTACCTGACATGAGACATGCTTAAACTTAACCCCGTGAGCTGTCAGTGAACACGAACGACAATGCACACTTTGCTTTCTTCGCTTTAATAGGTACCTCAGTGTAAGAGGCACAAACACTTCTGGTGTCTGATAACTCTACCCACTAGATTTTGCAGGTAGCCATTTTCTTTAACAAAAATCCTTTCTACTTACCCAACTTGCTTTTGTTCTTAAAGAAGAAATGCGTTGCATTTAGAAACACGTCCACGTGGGAAAGTTCTACAGCTTAGAAAGTTGCACATGAAAATGCATCTGCATTTGAGACTCTGTTAGAGCCAAGCTTGAATTAATGTAGGTTCGCATTATGAATATTTCACCACTACACTTACATCTCTGTCAAGAGTAGTTCAAGCACAGATTTTATAGAGCAGATTGTTTCTACCCTGGCTAGGAAGCTAGAGCCAGACTTAAAATACATACATACATATATGTATTTATAAGGTTGGAAATATAGATAGGTATTTCAGAAGATCCCATCATAAAATGCCTGCTTGTAACTTTCAGCACTTAAAGTACATTTGAAAAGTCACATAGGGCTGATTTTTCGTTTTGTCCTGCTCACAATAATGCACTATGAACGGTGCTTTTAAAGGTGCATTTTACAAACTCCCCATGAATAAGATTATGCTAAAAATCAGTAGTTGATCTTAGCATTTCAATAGCTCATCTAGCCACCAGCTAAACATGAGCACCAGAGCACCCAGGTTTGAAGACTATAAACCTAAAGCTATCATTTCTTCACAGTTGGTGTTGCGCATGTTTAGTAAACAGAAGAACCACCCTTCACCCCTCCCAAATTCCAAAATCATGGATTTTCTAGGAAAGCTGTTTAGAGTTCACTCATGCTCTTACCCACGTACCATGCCACTCACATTTCCAGCCATCCCTTAGGAAATGACATGAAACTAAGGATCAATGTATGGCAGAACGCCCTTTAACTGTGCAAATTACCCGCCACTGGACTGAACAGAACTCTGCAATGCAAGAGAACTCTCTGCATAGAGCCTTGGCAAAGACAGGCTTCACACGCAGTTCATCTGAACCACTAATCGTTATCGAAATTACCCAAAAGCTCCTTCATGTGACACCACTGAAACCTTCTCCAGTCCACTGTCCCTAAGGGCATGCAATTGCAGTGACATCTCCTGGTTGCTGGTGGTTCACTAGAACACACTTTCCCTCCTCAACTATCCAGCATAGGTATGCAGAAATTCTCTCTCCATTGAAGAAATGTGTTCAGATAGAGGGGAATCTTCCTACTAATAAGCAAGAAAGAATAATGGGATATAGTCTGAGTTTTTCTTGTGATGACCAACAATAAATCACTTCTTAGCTCAGGTCACATCTTCCGTGGGAAGAAAAATGTCTTGCCATCATTAACTTCTTTTCAGCTAGCAATAATATATGATCAGGTTTTAAGTAATTGAACCAGTAGCATTTAATTAGCTCTGAAAAACTCTCTCAGATCATGAATCACAGACTTTCCACCTGTATGAGGTCCCCTTACTAGGTTAAAAGTATATTTCTCTTTCCATGTGTGATCCATCTTGAATATCTAATGAGGCACTCTTGATATATGGATTATAGTTCATACATCACATGCAAAATACAGCAGACACACAGTCTCTTTTCTTTATATAATTGAGTTTCATGCCCTGCTTCACTGATTTGTTAAAAAAAGGAAAAAAAAAAAGCAATCCTCTTGTGTCTATGGCAGACTGGCCACTACTTGCTTCAATTTAACAAATTCCTCTTCTCCAGAGAGTCAGCATTAAGGGTGAGTAACTTAAGACATCTAGCTGGGAAAATAAAGTAATAGAAAGAAGTATTTCTTGTTGAAAGGCAGAACATAGAGAACTGCTATGATTTTAGACAAGACCACACTGGCAATTTTCAATAGGCCCAGAGCACTGACTAACCAAAGCGCATGATGCTTCCGTTCTAACATTACTTCGGATGGCTTCACTGCACGCTAAACAGAAAGTCAGTGCAGTCAACTAATATTTGGGGACATCTGTGGTCAGCACAAAACAGGATCACTTCTTATATCAGATTGTATTAAGCATCATTGTTTCCATTAAATTAGCTAAACCACAATCATCAACCACAAAAACCCCAGTTTTTATTCAGCTTTCAAATACGTTTCTGAAGCCGTTATTATGCTTTTATGACAAGACCTAGATAATTATAAGATTGGATTTTTTTTGCTGAAAAAGAGACACGATTAGCAAACTTCTTTTGGAAGACAGAAATTAAGACTCACAATCTACTCAAGTGTCAAACTGTAAACGTTGCCCAATATTTGGCTTTCTCTATAAAAAAAAAAAGTCTTACTACAAACCCCTCTATTTTTAAATAAGCTTTATAAAAAATAAAATTCAACAAAATGGATTGTATATCTCTGCTCTTTTCCAATCTTATTTTTAGCACAGTAAAAAAAAACCCCAAAACATGTTTCTGGTGACATTTTTCAATTTGAAGACAGCAAAGATTTTCATTTTCATAATAAAAAAAGCAGTGAAAGCTGAACTGCCTTACTGGATTGGACAAAGCTTGTCTTTACTCCAAATACTTCTTTCAGATGTTATCATAAATTGTAAATAATGTTGCTCTCGATTGCATGTGACACTCAACCTAGTTATGCACAACATTTAAACAGGCTGATGGGATTAGTGCCCCACACATTAAAAGCCACTGAGAGAGGAAAGGATGTATGACATCCATTATAAACACATCCACTTTGAAAAATGTTTGTCATGTGGATGGTAGAAATGTCAATGAGAACAGACTCAGATTTGCAAATCAATCCTTTACATCAAATAGCAAAAACTCCAAACAATCTCCAGTTCGTGGTACTACATTTGGTAGATAACATTTCTACTAGCTCCAGTTGTGCAGTTGACCTTTGCAGTTAATCCTGAGGTTTTAAGAACTTTTTCTTGGGTTTTTTGCTAGGTCTTGTGTTACTATTCCCATCTTCATCTTCATCCTGGAGTACACGTTGGTCTCTTTTTCTCAAGAATTTCTTCCCTATTGTTCCCACTAATGTTTCGTATCTGTAAAGATAATTAAAAATGTACTGATTTTAGTAAAATCAGAGAAAACTTCAATGGAGCAAGTCATAAATCTCATCAATAATTTAAGTGGTGTAAAAAAGATGGTCATCAGAAGCTTAAGAAACACAAGTACTACATGATCACTTATTACATTATTATTCATTGTGATAGTTTGGTCTTGTTCAATATCTTTATTGATGATCTGGATGAGGGGATCAAGTGCTCCCTCAGTAAGTTTGCAGATGACACCAAGTTGGGCAGAAATGGTGATCTGCTTGAGGGTAGGAAGCCTCTGCAGAGGTATCTGGACAGGCTGGATCGATGGGCTGAGGTTTAATAAGGCCAAGTGCTGGGTCCTGCACTTTGGTCACAACCACCCCATGCAACACTACAGGCTTGGGGAGGAGTGGCTGGAGAGCAGCCTGGTGGAAAAGGACCTGGGGGTGCTGGTTGACAGCCAGCTGAAGTGTGGCTTCACTTCACTGGGCTTCACTGAGCCATCAGTGTGCCCAGGTGGCCAAGAAGGCCAACAGCATCCTGGCCTGTATCAGAAATACGGTGGCCAGCAGGAGTAGGGAAGTGATCATGCCCCTGTACTCCGCACTGGTGGGGCCGCACCACAAGTACCGTGTTCACAGTTTTGGGCCTCTCACTACAAGGACATTGAAGTGCTGGAGCGTGTCCAGAGAGAGGCAACGAAGCTGGTGAGGGGTCTGAAGCACAAGCCTCATGAGGAGGCTCAGGGAACCGGGGTTGTTCAGTCTGGAGAAGAGGAGGCTGAGGGGAGACCTTATGGCTCTCTACAACTACCTGAAAGGGGGTTGTGGTGAGGTGGGGGTTGGTCTCTTCTCCCACGTAGCTAGCGACAGAATGAGGAAATGGCCTCAAGTTGCGCCAGAGGAGGTTTAGACTAGATATTAGGAAAAAATTCTTTACGGAGAGAGTGATCAAGCACTGGAACAGGCTGCCCAGGGAGGTAGTGGAGTCACCATCACTGGAAGTGTTCAAAGAACATGCAGAGGTGGCACTTCAGGATATGGTTTAGTGGGCATGGTGGCATTGGATTGATGGTTGGACTTGATGATCTTAAAGGTCTTTTCCAACCTTAATGATTCTGTGAGCAATGTGGAACATGGAGGGAATTAGCATGCAATACCTGGATATCAAAGGGCAGAAAACCCCTACAGGATATTTTACTCCCAAAAGTGATAGACATTCCACTGAATATGCACCAGAATTCCTGGAAAATCAGTGTAAAGTACCATAGCTGATGGGGTTTTTTGTTGTTTTGTTTGTTTGCTTTTTGGGTTTATGTTCCCACACATAATGCACTAACATATCATATTCCTAGATAATATTATGTCATCAAATATAACTTACCTTCTGGCCATTTCTTCATCTGACACATCAGCTTCCATTTTATCATCCACTTCAATTTCTTCTTCCTTGCTCCTAGAGTTCATTTGGATCATTAACTTCTGAAAATGGAAGTAAGAAATAGCTTAAACATGTAACCCTGACACAATGACAACTATGCTGAAATTCGCTGGTAGGAGAAACGTATAAAAGGTAAGAATCAATTTTAATAATTATTTGCTGTTCCCAGTCAGGTTGGAGCATGCTGTTATGAAAACTCATGAAGAAAAGGCAACATGCCTGCCTGTTGCTAAGCTAAGCTTAGAGTTTGCCTTTGGGAAAAAAGGCAACAAGGACAGGGTTTTCAGTGAATTGTACTATTCAAACGTCCTCAAGGGCATGCCAGACATCTTCAGGAGACCAGAGAATTAGATCATAATTAATTTTTCATTGTGATGTTAGCACATAGTCCTTGAAATGGTTTTGTTAAAAAGGCAAAGTATCTGCAAAACTTTACAATAAACTACCAGTAAAAACCGTGAAGCAGTAATATGCCAAGTCACAGTGAGAGCAAGTTCAAAACAACTACAAGAATCCCCTAGTAAATCACCTTGCATAGCCTTTTGCATACCTCTTAGTCTTTATACCTTCATCCTCTTGCTTCAGTTCAAGTGGTAACATTTTTATTACTATCTCAGTGTAGTTTCTCTCGGCATGAATCATGCCAGAAAGCAATTAAAAAATCTCTTGTCCAGAATTTTTACTTTGGAACTTTAAATCCTTACTTACACAAGTAAGTGTTGAATAAATAGGGTTGAATGTTTGTAGGATTGAACTCTGAATTAAATGGCAGGAGGAAAAGTGAGCTATTGTTTTGGTGAGCAGCATGTGGGACAGTTTCCTCACTTCAGGGAGGGAAAATCTGCAGGAGTCATGGAATGACTGGCCATCAACACAAGGAGATAAAAAGCTTTTATTTACCAGATGCTGCATTGATCAACATTTTGGTTTGAATCACAGGCTTCCTGTACATGCAAGGATTTGTGGAAGGTGCTGCAAACAGCACGCAGAACACTCAAATCCCCATCCCCAAGGGCTTCAATCCTAATGCAAGACCACTTCAAAACAGAACATTTAACGGTACCTCAATTTCCGGATTGAATCCTTTGAAGGACATCCTCCCATAAAGTAGGTCCTCACATGGCATAAAGCTCCTCTCTTCTATTATAAAGCTCCTGCATGAAACCCCAAACCCAGCATTTTGTCAAATGATGCACTTTAAAATAATCAAATTAAACAAATGCAAAAAGCATTTGCTGTCTTCCCCCCCAAAATAAAACCACAGTGTATCTTAAACCATCAACTACTTTCTCAAGCTTAATTGCTCTGATAAATCTTTCAATACAAGGAGCTTGGAGTGCAAAGGAATACTTTTTGCCAGTAAAGCTGTGCCAGTTCCACAAGCAAAATTAACTCTCCTGACAAAAAGCACTCTTTGCTGGTATGATTCCACCTACATTAATGCTTTTGCCAGAATAAAAATACCACATAAATATCACTCTCCAGGTGGCATTACTATACCAGCAAAAGCTTCTAATTAATTTTTCATTGTGATGTTAGACCTGGCATTAGTTGAGTCTGTCAGGATATAAAACTGTGTAATTCTCTGTTCAGCAGAGAGAGACTTCCCCTTTCTCCCTCCTTTTTTCCTCTTTTAATGAGCACGGAGGGAGAAAAGAAACATGACCCTGAAGTGTTCATAATACACGTGTTAGATAAAAGTACTTCCATGAACTGTTCCACCCTTCTTTTCCTCACATGCAGATGCACCTCTTCCCTCATCCTCTTCATCTCCATGTAAAACCAACTCCTACGATCATAGGAAGTTAGGCTGAAGAGATCAAGCTCATTCTACCTCAAGGTAGGATCAGTTAAACATGTACCATGAACAGCAGAGGTACATCTAGCCTGTCCTCAAAAGACTTTCAATGATGAAGAATCCAGTGTCTCCTTAGGCAATCTGTTTCAGTGCTTCAATAGCCTCATTGTTAGAAAAAGTCCCCCAATGTCCAGTTTGAACCTTCCTTGCGGCAACTGAAGCTCAAATACCTTTTTGTCATATCCACTAACAGTCATGGAAAATAGTTAATCAATGACCTTACTGAACTACAGTTAATTCCCTAGATCCCAGCTTTTAAAAAATCATGTATGTTCTCCCTCAATGGAAATTTTGTCCTCTTTCGAAAGGACAAAAATCAAGCAATTTTAAAAGTAGTTCTCTTGCTATTTAAAAGACCTTTCTAAATAGCAGGAAAGGACATTTTCTTCCTTATTAGCTAAGCCTTCCTTTATTTTTGCCATTATGTCTCCTATTTCAAAAACAGGATATCCAGTGAGCTGGACTCAAGAAGACAGAACTGTCCTGAATGGACTTAACTGTGTGACTGGAGCTGAATTTACTAATGCAAGGTTTCAAACTTCTTTTTTCAAATTAAGGGGAAAAGCAGCAGTGAGTGAATTGGTCCCTGCCTTAAAGAAACTAATTACATGCATCTAGAAGAATGTGTGAGTGAAAGAAAACAACACACACAAGAAATGAAAGTAGGTCAAACTGCACTAGGCAACATTGAGAACATCCCTGAAAATAAATAATAAAAAAAGCTGTAATTCCAGGCTGTCACTATTTTTGCTTCTGTTAATTGGTTACTAATAATACTTCTTTTACAGGAAAAAAAAAACGTATATTCTATTCCCACTCCACAACAATCCAATGATGATAAGAAGTACAAAAGAATACAAGCTTACTCTTTCTCCTTTAGATCTGGTAAATCAAGATACCAGTGTTCTTCACTAATTATCTTCTTTTCTTCCTCTTCCAGCTGTTTTTTTGTTTGTGAATCCAAACCCCTTTGCATGAACTAAAAAGAAAGACACACACAGAGCTTCATTTTTTTGCATCATTAGGATGTGCTGAACATGCAATAATTACATGATGACAATTATCCATTACATAACATTTAACAGTTGATATAAAAAGTAAATGCTTTTTGTGATTTTTCTATGGGTTTGGTCTAAGTTTGGGCAAACAGGCAATGCAAAAGTAAACAACTGCTGATCACAACCTTCTACTGGAAGTCAAGTCAGCCACATCTGTACTTCCTACAAAGAAACAGAACTGTCCTGCTTAGTTTTGATGGATCTGAGTTGCTACAACTCCGTAACTTTGCTAAGATTTTCCTAATGTTTCGGCAAAGGCCAGAGAGAACATAATGGTATTGAAGTCACTGCTGCATTACAGAAACAAACACCACCCATACAAACAACACTGGATCTTGGAGCTAGAGCTAGGTCATACCAGGTTGGTAATTTTTTGAACCACTTTCAACCATCCTCTTCTTTTCTCAGATTTCATCTCATGATCTGGCATGCATTTGTAGCTCTGAAGGCTGGAACCTGCCTTTGGAAGTGGAAAAAAGTAACTGAGGTCTTGTGTATCCAGCTGTGCTACAGGAAGACGTTACCAGCTCTTAACTTCTCATCAATGACCCACCAATGTACCAGTCAAGCAGTATGTGTAACCTGTTAGCTCACTGCAGGAATAGTCTGCCAAGTTAGCTGAGAACAATAATTATAGCTGAGGGTAAGACTGCTATTTTTGCCCGATACAAGGACATTCCTTTAAGTTGCTTCCTCAGTGATAAACTTTGGCAGAGGATGGGAACAGGCAAGACAGGAACAGTAAGCTCTCTCCCAGCTGGGAGTAAAATGGCCTATGAAAAATTGCTGAGAGCACAAAACTACAGACCTAAAATATGTGAAACATCCCTTTAACTTCCATTTGTCCCAAGTCAGGTGCCTGAACTGAGTGACAATTTGAGTATCAACAATGTTAACCAAACATGCTGGAAAAAACAGAAGTCTTCAAGATTTTATAGCAATAATCCCTCATATTCTCACATCCCTAGGAGCTGGGACCTCCCTTAGGGTCTACAGAACGTGTTTGAATAACTGTATGTCAGAGGTGCGCATTTATTTATATTATATGTTATATATAATATAAATAAT